TCGCTCAGAGAACTGGAACTGGATTGATGTGCCTACCATTGCCAGATCCCCGAAGATGTGTTTGGGAAAATGTTGTTGACGTGATCTTTGAGTAGAACCGTCGACAAGATTTAAATCAACGGACGCAAAGCTTCGTTTTAAGGGGGAGCAATTCAGGATCAGTGAAACGCAGCAATGATATGTCCATACCGCGATCAAGGGTTGGCAGCAGGTTGTTGAAACCATTATTGGCAGATGACTCCATGTTGTGCTGACACTATGTCGATGTTCATCCCTGTTTTATCATTTGAGGTTAGCAGGAGCAATGGGAGTTGTCGATCCCCATTTGTGCGCGCTCTGCGCCCTGGAGCAGATGACACTGCCAGAGAAACCAGGGCACGTCGGGGCATCTGTGTTCAGAGATCTCCATGGAGGGGTGGCTCCCGGCACTTCCACTCTGCACGTAATGATTCGCCCCTACGGCACAACCTCCTCAAGCTCCCAAGCTGACAGAGGCAGACGGATACCTGTTGAGTTAAGTTGAGTTGAGATTTCCATTACAGCGTGTCAGCCAACATTGACTATGTCGCCACTCAGCCTCCAAGAACGCAGCGAAAACACATGCCCATTGTTTGTCCTCGTGTACGCCAGTGCCCCGCACTGGCACTTGCCTCCACATCGAGTCCCAGACAAGTATCTGTGTCGGGTGGAATGGTACTCAAGAGAGCGGCGTGCGGTGGAGGGGTGGGACATCCCATCAGAAGCACCCGGTTCGGTCCCCGGTTCAGTCATCCGCTTTTCCACCCCCACTACTACAAAATCTGTCACACAGCGCCTTGACACGGCGTCCGTCTGCACCAAGGATTGGTCCTGTCCTTAAGCCCCTCAGCTTCCCTGGCAGCGCCCCCGTCGTCGCTCGGACTGATGTGCTTCAGCTGATGTGCAGCGCGCACAAGAGCGCCCCGCCGTGCCGCCGTTGACAGCTCGGCTCAGCGGGCGCCGCTCCGCGAGAGCGCGCAGGGATGGGAGCGGAGGCCAACGGCGGCGGGGCGCAGCGGGCCCGGTGGGGCTCCCGCCTGGCCTTCGTCCTCGCGTGCGTGGGGTCGGCCATCGGCCTGGGCAACGTCTGGCGCTTCCCGTGGCTGTCATACAAATTCGGAGGGGGAGTCTTTCTGGTGGGCGCGCCGCGGGCACCGCCCGCCGGGGACCGTATCCGCGAGATGGGGCCCCAGATCCCGCGCAGCGGCGCGCCCGAGATGTCGACGGGCGCGAACGGGCGCCGACGCGATCCAGCGCACAGGCACAAATTTGTCAAAATTTGTCCCAAACTCGCGCGCCGACACCCCCAGGGCTTCGTCCCTCCCTCTGCGACGGCATGTTTCGGTCGAATCGTTGCTCGCTTGCGGCTCCGCCGCCGTGTGGCCACCGGACGCGCTTCTTCTTCTTTGCTTCCAGCCCTGCGTCGACGCCCCCCGCTCCGTAACGGGCGTTCGATCCCGATGCAGGGGCCCTGAGCGCCCGCCCTGCATCCTCAGGTGCCCTATTTTCTTGCCCTGCTGCTGCTGGGGCTGCCGCTGCTGGTCCTGGAGCTCGGCGTGGGCCGACTGTTCCAGGCCGGCGACGTGGAGGCCTTCGGGAGGATCAGCCCCCGCCTGCGGGGCGTGGGCCTCATATCTGTCCTGGGGAGCTTCTTCACCGTTACTTACTACGGTGGGTCTTGTGCGCGACACCTTGCCGTGCATCCGCCATCCACACTCTTGCCAACGCCTCCTGAACACAAACATTGTGTTCAGGCGTCTTTGTCGACGCCACCACTCGTCTTGGATCAGTTTCGGGCGCCTTGTCTTTGGGCCGCCTGGCGCCCTGGCTTTGCCAAAGATGCCATACCAGAACCGCGGAATTTTTGCCAGTTGTTGCGCAGCGCAAACCTTTCCCAAACAAGTGCCCAGCGCACACACCGTGCACGCGCTCAAGCACATTGCAGTGAGCGCCTTTGTTTCTTGGCCGCTTCACCCGTTCTAGATCAGCGGTGCGCTGTCGCCTGCTCCGGTGGGGTCCCGCGTCGCGCTTTCGCCATCCGTTGGGCCTCCTGCTTGGGGAACAGTGGTACAAGCCCTGTACTACAAGGCACAGTACTTTACAGTGCCTGAACGTACCGCATTCCCAAGTCGGCTTTGCGTCCAGACCGAACGCAAGGGACGCCACCGCTTGCTTCGGATCGTCTTCGAACGCCTTGCCTCGGGTCGCCCAGCGTTCCGGTTGCCGCTCGAGTCGCGCAAATCGTGCGAGAAGCGAGGATCGGGGTGTGTGGCCGTTGGGTGACGGCATTGCGGCCGGGGTCGGGTCAACTGCGGCGGTTGACATGCATGTCATATGGCAGCCGCGGACGCGGCAGACCGAACTGGACGGACGGACCGTCGTGCCGACGCCGTTGGGGGCACCCGGAAGGGAGGGAGGGCGGCCGTGCGACTTTGCTGACGTCGCGTTTTGGTGTCGGCGGGCGATGGTGGGCGGCGGTTGCCTGCGTGATCGTTTCGACTGCGGGGTCGTTGAAGCGAGCCCCTCTCTCGATGTCCGCAGGGGCGACCCAGCGGGAGCGACACGCAACGCGCAGGCGCGGCGCGCAAGGCGTGGTGCGGCGCTGCGAACTTGCCTCGCTGCTGTGACGGGGAGTGCCCTTGGGAGTCCAATTGCCGGGACGCAAGAGAGCACAGCGCCCGATGCCGGAATGTCTGACAGCAAGTACCGTTCGCCCGGCCTCCATGCGCGATCCCCCGGGTCCCTTGCATCAATCAACCCCCCAAGGCGCAGAAACGAATCGCCCCTTGTAATGTGATATTGCGATGTGGCGATTCTCGTCAGCGAGATCATTGAATGACACGGACGGTGCCGCATGACACAAGTTAGATCGCCCGTTTCTCCCATCACCTCGTTAGGGGACCCTCAGGGAGCACGTTGAACACTGTGTCGCAGCTTTTTGACTCAGACAGTGGCCAATCAGCGCAATGTACTCGGGTCCAGCGTTCTTCTCGGATCAGGAGTGCTGGAGCATTTTGCGGATGGATGGAAGCCATGTGTATGAATGAATTCCAGGATATCCCACTAAAGGAAAGAAGGGCCAAATGTGGTAACGATGAATGTAATCATCATTGCCCCATTGGATCTGACTTCCTCTTCCTTCAATGGGATACCCTGGAATGTATGAGGCTGAGTGAAAGTGGCCAAACTTCGGGAGCAAATCTATTGGATGCCTACCATCGCATGGACCTGGCAAGAGCAACACTTGAACAACATTTCAGCAAATGTAGTCAGCGCACTGACAACATGCAACATTGAAGTGCTGCGTCATGTGGCTGCAACGTGAACACTTACTCCTCGAAGTAGAACGTTGCTGAACAAAATATCTTTGCTGGTCGTTGCTTGAAGCAAACAGAAGCACTTACGCTGCTTGCGTCATCAATTGAATTCGAAATTCAAGACCCTTTCTGTGCCGCACGCAGTGAACATCATCGCCTGGTCGCTGGTCTACTTCGCGGGCAGCTTCGAGGATCCCATGCCATGGGCCGGCGACCCCGACAAGTCCAAGGCCTGCCAAGAGTCCTCCGCCTTCGTTGAGGCCAGGGATTTCCTGTTCAACGAGGTGCTGCGCGCCGCCGACGACGATCAGCTGGACGCCGGCAAATCCCACGTCATTTCCGGAAGCGTTTACGCGGGCCTCGTCGTCACTTGGGTGGTCATCTTCTTCACCCTGGCGTTTGGGGTCAAGGGTGTCAGCCGGGTTGTGGCCGTCACCGTGCCGCTGCCGTTCCTGCTGCTGGTTGTCATGCTTGTGTACAACGCCACGCTGGAGGGCGCTCGAAACGGCATCGTGAGTCCGCCATGAACGCCAATGCACGACACCGCCCCCAATGGCGCCTTGCATTCTGTCGTTCCGTGTTCGAGAGGCGTTTGGCTGCTAAAAATCCATAGTTTGGGTTTGCCTTGGAAGGAAAAAACGGGGCCTTTAAGCCTTCGGGCGATGGCGTACATGAAGACATCCCAGTACTGTAGTATGTTCAACACTTCCCTATAGTAAAGTAGCGCTTGGACTTTTTGCAGAGAAAGCGATGGAATAAGTAACGTTCTCTTACCAAAATTTTTGCGGAGCAACGTAAAACAATAAAAACAATGCTCTGAATAACATGAGGAGCAAAAAGCTAATGGTAAAATTGTTTGATGCGGAAGGGTTGAATACACTACGGGGCTTTCCTGTTCCTCATTTGCTCACTTTGTCTGCTCTCCACCCCTCTGAACCGATGCTATTTTACTCATTCATTTTTTCCAGCACCGCTGGCTCTGCAGCATGGGCGCGAGCGAATCGGTGCAGTTCTCGCTATTTGATTTGACATGTGTTGTCGTTCAGGATGCCTACATCGGGAATTGGGACTTCTCGGACCTTGGCCAGAAATTGATTTGGCCCCAAGCCGCCAGCCAGATCTTCTTCAGCAACGGCGTTGGCTTCGGTATCCTGACGGCGTATGGCAGTTTCACTGCTGAGGATTCAGACCTCGTTGCGGTGAGAATTTTCGGCTACATGCCTAATTGAATCTGTATGCCGCAGGGCAAAGACTTGTCACGTTGGTGTCCATGCACCGATAAATAAATACATCCAGTCTGTCCAGGACAAAATTCTTCATGCGATATAAGTGGCGCCGCCTCGTATACGCCCCCTGCGGGTCGTGACTCTGACCAGTTTTACGGGCCGCGCTGATCAGCTCCCGCTAACAGTAATTTACCACACTGAATTTCGGTTGTTTGCTTCTTAAAAGGGTGTGGTGATTATCAACAATGGCATGATGGTGCAACAGGGAGATGTAAGCGAGTTGCTTTCGTGGTAAATGACATGAATGTCGGCGAAAGATACAATCCATCAAGCATACCGGTACCCTGGATCCTCATGCTTTCCAAAGCAGAAACGATTGTGACGTAAAACTGCCTCATCGACCAACTGTACTTATTTGATTTAATTGAGTTTCGCTTGAGATAAAATTAGGTTCAGGCGACTCCGGAGGGTTGTCCAGATGAATAGCTTAAAGAAGCGCTATTTATCCCATAATTTTGGTTTGCGAAGCAATGGCTCTCAGGGGCCACCCCATGCAATGGGCTGCATCGTTTAAATGGCGGGCAGTCGCGAGCCACGAGGCGTCAATGATCCGTCCCATGATGCAGTTGGCCTAACGCAGCACTGGGAATGCAATGCACCAGATTGCGCAAATTTCCAAAATTAGCAGTACACTCCTCGGCGCTCGAATGAGAGCAATCCAATTCGATTTCCTCAACACTGCTCTGCCTCCCAGGACTCCACGATAATAGCCCTGTCCAACTCCGGAGTCAGCATCCTTGCGGGCTTCGTCGTTTACGCCATCGTGGGCAACGTCGCCCACGAGTACAACTGCCCCAACGTGGACACCGTGGCGGACTCCAGCGGGCCCACCCTGGCCTTCGTCACCTACCCTGCGGGCATGCTGTCCTTTCCGGACGGCGTGTCCAACCTCATGAGCACCATATTCTTCCTGACGCTCTTCACGCTGGGCATTGACAGCGCCTTCGCACTTGTGGAGTCCCTCACCACGGTTCTCAGGGACACCGCGAGGTTCAGGTGGGTGCAATTCCGTTGCGCCTTCCTTTGTCTTTGTTCCTTTGGATTTTGCATTGACAAAAGCACCAGTGGAAGGGTCGCTTTTTGGCGCGTGCGGAAAAGCATGCCGAAATCGCGCGACTACGATTTCTCTTATGGTATCGGAGTCATGTCGCCATTTTGAGGCGAGTTCACCATTATGGATTCTTGGCGAGATCATGTCGCAGTGAAGAAACGCGTCTTTTCCGCTAGCTGTGCGGTTTGATGTCACAGTTCAACGCCCAGGCACCCGAAAGGCGGTGAAGGAGAGCCCTTGCATCTGCAGAGCGCAGCTTCAATCTGCTCGTGCTAGCAACGACTTTCAGAAGAGGCGAAAGAGTGCGTATGCGTCTTGAAATCAGTTGACACATTGTGGCTCTGGTTCGTTCTGAATCGGACTGGATCAGTCTGAGTGCTCCGGCGGAACCCAACTCATATCTGCGATAAGATATGGCGATGTCACTAAGCATTGTGTGGGCAACATGTATCACTCGTACATTGCTTGGATTGATCTGTACAATTGGCAATTGAAGTGACGATTCAAAGGTAGGATCACCTGGCATTCCGCCTGGATTGAAATTTTGAGTCCACAAATTGCAGAATATTAGTAATTGTGTTAGTTATAAGCGCTTCGTACCACCAGTGCGCCGAAATATGCGAGTATTTGGAAAAAAAATGGCAAATTGCAACACAGGCTGAAAGCAGGGAACGCGCTGCGAGGGCACAGGAATGTGTGTTGGCTCGCCAGTTGCACTATTTCACTGACACAAGCATAAATGTAAGAAGCCATGCACTGAACACATGTTCAGTGTATTTTGGTGGCAAGGTTGCCGGCATTGCTGCGGGCGCCCAGGGGGAGTAGGACCCACATCGCGGATCTCAGTTTGTCTGTGCTGCATTGCAGGAACACAAACCCTGCACACGTCACCGCGTACACATGCTTTGTCGGCTTCTTGATCAGCACTCTGTATTCCACCGATGTCGGACTTGCTCTCCTGGATTCCGTGGACCACATGCTCCTCACGTACTTGTTTCTGATAGTGAGTAGTCTCAATTGCCCCGCAATCCTATCATGCAGTTGGTGTTGTGTGACATGCAGTTTGCACAGAATGGAGCGAATGGAGCCACGTCGCAGATTCGTATCTGCGGCCTGGCACTATCGTGTATACACTGAACTATGCGAAACTTCCAGTACTTTGATGTGTTCGTTGTGCCACTGACAGTGCTGTAAGTTTAGTTGCATTTACTGTATCTGCAGCGGATAGCCTCCATACATTTCTAAGCTTCCTATCGTATTCGTCTTGATCGTTGTATTGCCGTTTTCTGCGGCCGACTTGACATCAAATGCTCCGAGAAATACGGGAGAAATTACATTGTTTCAGAGATGCAACCCAGGAAACACGAATTGAAAGACGGACCTGGTTTCCAGCGCCACGATCCTCGATATCGATACCCTTCGTCTGATATCTTCGGTATCGATACCCTGCATTTGGGCGCATTCAGACCCGTCACGTTTTCAATGGAGAGTTCCTTGCAGGAACGATTTATTGACAAAACGGTTTAAGGGCCCCGTCACCCTCCGGAGAACCATCTGAACAGGTGCGCCATTGTTTCAGAACTTCTTTCGACAGATGCAACACATATCAGAGCAGTTTCTGGCTCTCTCCAAACGCAACGAAGTAATTTTGGTAATCTGTCGCCCACCCTCTCAACAAGACCACGCTACACAGCGGCAGGAGCAGCACCCTCTAGAGAGTGTATCACCGCACACTCACCTGGATGGAGATCTATATCAAGGCAAATCTGTCATTGACCACGGCTTCCCGAATCCATCAGATCGCGCTGCCCTTGCAGCTTCTGATCTGCCCAAGGCGCTGCTGGAATACACAAGCAGGTGTCTGCAAGGGTCTTGAAGAAATCACTGCTTCTCGCTCTTTCCCTCTGCCTCACATCGCTTCGCATTTCTCGCAGATTGGCCTCATCAAGGCAGTGGCCATCTCCTGGATTCACGGCTGGGATGTCATGGCCAAGCGCGTCGGCGCCGCGTCAGCCAACATTTACACCGTGGGCTACGGTCTCGCTGTCGTCAGCACGGTGGCCTTGGCCTCCGGTCTGTGGGACATCATGGAGGAATGGAAGTATCTGGCGCTGGCGATATCTTACGGTCTCGCATCTTTTGGCTTCACCACCATCGTGGCCTTTGCGGCGCGGCGACATAAAGGCATGGCCTTGGGACAGTGGTGGAGCAACGTCGTCTTTGCGGGGACGGAAGCCTTCAGGAACCACGTGGGTAGATCTTATTCTCATTCGCGTTCGTGGGTACATCCACACGGTGCTTGAGCGTCATCGAGAGCACGTTGTTGCACAGGCGGCGCGACATAGCATAGCAATGAAACAAATTATGACAATGAGCCCTAACGTCGCGTGGTATGCGACGTGTGGTACCGGCGTAATAGCATTCCTTTTTGTATTACCAAAAATTATGTTTGGAAAGACAATACAAAAGTTCTCCTGCGGAAGCTGGAACGTTGCAATTGTCGAATCTGCGCATATATGAAATAGATTGTATGCAATGATCGTGATCCAAATCTGCTGAGCTGTATGAGGGCAGATGCATCAGACACGACAACGCGGCCACAAATTCTGAGCGAGGACCTGATCGGAGCTTCCGCTCACAGAACAAGCCATGCATTGGGCTGATCAGACCTTCTAAAAGTTTTGTCGAATGAATATGGGGAAATATGCAGAACTAAACACCTACATATGCCCGCAATATTGGGAGCATTCGTCTCTGAAGGAAATTGCATGTCCTGGACATTGACCATCCAGAACGTGGGCCCCCACATCATAATCGATGCCCCCAGGACATTAGACTTCTTCCGGACGTTTTCGCGCAAGCACCCATTCCCGCTCTCACCTAATCTCATCGGCGTTGCAGATCAACGAGGCTGCTAGAAAGCACGGCAAATGGACTCTCCACTGGGTGTGGGACGTCATAGTGAAATACATCGACCCCGCCATCCTTGCGGGCCTCATTGTCAACGGCGTTTTCAACGACGCCACCAACACGAAGAGCGATTTCTACAACTACCCAGCCTGGGTACAAGCCGTGGGAGTCGTCGTCGTGGTAACGCTGCTAATTGTTTTCGTGGCCCTGGCTGCGTTCCCATCATTGTGGACATCGTTCTTTGGCGGTGACAAGGCTCCGACACAGGTGGCGAAGAAGTCCTCGGCACAGAGAGTGGCGTCGCAGGGGGAGCAAAGCCAGGCCGCCAAAGCACCATTCATGACGGACAGCATGCTAAGATCGTAGATGTACGATCTACGATCTATAGATGGAGAGGTTGCTTCCCTGAGCGCTTCGTTGAACAGTCGGCAAATCATGAGCAATTCCTCTCCCATGGCAACAAAGGGCAGTGTGGATGTGGTATCCTCTCGATATGCTTGTATGTTGCAAATTGTGCACCGCTTTACCCCGGTGTGGCCTATTGGGTAAGGGGTGTAAGCCGCAGCGGAGATCCTTTTTTTCACTTTGTGCATGGCAAGCAATAAAGGATGGCAGGTCATACTGGGTTAGAATACCGACGGAACTCAACTAAAAATGAATTCAGATTTTCTTGTTGTTGCGGAAGGTGGCTTGGCCCACATGGGGAAGCTGGGGTTTCGCATGGGAATGGTGGTGTCGATTCTGGGTGACTCCTAAGGCACCCGTAGTTGCTGAATTGTTTAGTTTTAAACCATTAGTGGAAATGCGATCTGTGTCTAAGTTCAGAGGTGCGAGGCCAGGAGAGGCACAGTGCGTGCGATAGTACTGGTCGCTGAGGAGGGTTTGGAGGAAAGCTTTGGCGATCTGTGGCTGCAGCTTGCCTTTTCTAACAACTTTGGGCGTTGTGCAATTTTTTGGTCCTCGTGTACAAATATCCCACTGAAAGCAAACAGTTGCACACAGTGGAGTTGCGCACGTGTACGTGTGTCAAAGAATCCTGTCGTTTATTCCTTCGTACATGGAAAGACGATACATTGTCCATTCATCCAATACACAGCACAGTGTGCCTGCCTTTGATAGTCCGATGCAAGCCTGGAATCGAAACTATAGCCCGATTGTTGATCACAAGTAAACAAATCACCTGTTCCAGAGTGGTGTCGTTTCATGGTAAGCCGAGAAGGAAACTACTGCTAAACATTTATGACAAGCAGCCCTGAGGTAGCACAACGGAATGAATGTGCGCGATTCTGAGGTGGAAAATCCACACCACACTATTGAGGCTAACAGAGTATCTTCAGTTACAGTGCCACTATTGCCCCTAAAAAAATACGAAACGGCATGCTGTTATGGCACCAATTGGCCCGAGGCTGCATTGAAATTCAAATAATTCACATGTCAGTAAATAAAGGCAGCGAACAAAAGCTGGAACACCACCCGACTAAACTGACGCCAGTATTCACCGATGCCTGAATGTGTGAGGGGACACAGAATTGGTGTTGGAGTCCCGCTAATTGCCCGTCTGCACGAAACTGTGCGGCCAGCTGCCTCTAGCCGCCATTCACGGGAGCGCACCATGCAAATGCTTTCTACACACCTTTGAACCATGTCCCGTACTTTGAGGCGCACCAAACCACTCGGAATGTTAACGAGGACTGCCACGTCCCAATCTCCCGGATGGCCAATCCAGCGCTAACCCGGCATCTATGGGTATGAATGCCCGTGGTGCTCGCCCTCTGACCAACGCCGCTTCTGCCCCCTGCAATTGTGTCCCAGACCAATGATGGTTTCTTTATAATGGGAATCAATACCGACGGGCAGAATGTGGAGGCGCCTGGCGGAGTGGGCACTGCTAGCAAGCGGTGAACTTCCTGAGCTTTGGAATCCCTTGAGCCGAATGGGGCCTTTGACAGCATATGATATTGGTTTATCGTTCGCGCTGCCATGCGGCCCTGCTGGGTCACCTTAAGAAGAACTGCACCAGTGTTTTCGCCATTTGTGCCAGCGGTGCAGTTGTATTTTGCTGCTTGGTCGTATTTTCAAAAGAAGTAAGGTCAATTTTGCTGCCGACAAGATCCCATTGAGGTGCGCCACGAGATCTGCAGCAGGTGCGTGAAGGCTTCTGTGCGTTTTGGCTCCGATGTCATTGAGTATTGTACTGCATTCAACCATTCTGCATAATAACATAACGCTTGGCCTTTTTCTGGAGAAAACAATAATATAAATAACGCTGTTTCAAGGAAAGTTTTCGCGAAGCAAATTTTAAAAGCAAAAAATATAAGAACAAAATGCGGAGCAAAAGGTGCAACGTTAAAAGTTTTTGATTGGGAAGCGTTGAATATGCTACCCTAGTTCTGCCACCAGAACGCAGAATAGAACTGTACCGTAACGGTACAGTTCCATTCTGCATTCTGGTGGCAGAGCAAAGATGGAGACAAGCCAGAGGCACGTGTTCCAGTCGTCAATTTCCCGTGTTTTGTTTTGACGCAAGCATCGCCTGATGAGGTGCAGGCAATATGGACCGCAAGCCAATGCGTTTCCCGATCTGATAGATTTGGGTTGACAGCTTTCACGACGTTACCAGGTGCAACGCTGAGGTGAGCACAACGGTAGTATTTCCATAGATTTATATTGGATCGACTTACTCGTTGATTTAGAGTTCTTTCGCTTTGGCAATGGATGGTGTACCGCCGTAGCTGGCACGTGGAGGTATGACCCCCCCATGTAGTCAATAGGGGCCACCCTACGGTGACCGGCCCCAATGGGGCTACGGTCAATATAGTGTAGGGTTAAGGGCCGACCATGCCGAGGGCAGGTAGGGTGACCACCGGGACTGGGGGGTACCCCACCCAAGTATCAGCTCCCGGGAAGTGGCCCCAGGCCTCACTGGCCCGGGGTCCGGCGTTGGGTCCCGGGATGAATGGTCTTCGAGCGCCCACCCTCGGCTAGCGGCCTTGCCGAGCAACAGATGGTCATGATTAGTCTCCAACAAATTGATCTGTTCCATTTAAATCTATCCAATGGAGGAATGTTCTTCATCAAGTGAAGATCGCTCACCCCGTTCCCTGGCAGGATGACTCCCCAGACATCTGCAAGGAGCACCCCCAGGGGAAACGTTATTTAGTCGCTGCCTTCCAACGTCAGCATGGAGCTTGCAAGCTGACGTTGGAAGGCAGCGACTAAATAACGTTTCCCCAAGCGCAGCCTGTGCTCCAGGCACATGGAAATTGCGCTCTACGACCCATTTGCCTTGCCTTACAACAGCCATGGCGGCCGTCCGCAACTCACACCGGCTTGCCAAGCAAGAGCGCCCATGACATGTGCCAAAGCGAGGCATTCATGCATCGATGCACGCGATGTATGCCAAAACCATTGCGGCGGCATTGCTGATATCCAGGAAGCTACTGCAGGACAGGTAAGCAAGTTGGGCACAGCAGCTACGGCCAACAGGACGCCTAATCCAGCCCGTCCGCCATTGATGCGAGGGCAACGTAGACCTCACATACGGTGCGCATGACAGTTGCAGCAGGTGGCAGCGTCCACGCGCTGCTCGAGCTGCGTACAGTCACGTGAGCCCCAACATACATGCAATTGGGTACAGCATGGTTGAGGACGTGCACTAACCCCGCCCCTTAGGCAAGACGCCTGAGATAGCTTCCCATCCCTGTTGACCATCAGGATGCCCATTATCAACGCCGTTGAGAAGACGCTGTGGTGCAAGGAGATCAGGTGCTGCGATGCGCGCCCCAAATGGGGGGGTGCTTCACACCGCAGGTATTGCCAAATGGTTAATACTCCTTTCGGAGGTCCACAATTCAGGCACTGTATTGGCAAATGTGCCAAACGCACAACAGCAAACTGCCAGGGCACGGCCTGCGGCGCGAAGCTGTCCAACCAATGTAACATTTTCTGCCGCATGGCTGTGTTGATTTATGCTCAAATATGTCATTGGTATGCAGAGAGCGGTTGATTTGGCAAGCATCACGTAATCCAAGTTGAGCTCAAGTAATTGGATTCTGATGTTTTTGTACTTCGCTGTGCTGCCTTCAGGCCTTGTACGTGGCTGCCGCTTCGGCGTCATGTTTGAGCCGTGAATGGCAATAGAATGTTCTAGTGCAGATGCACAAATTGCAACCACGCTGCCACGTCGCCCTCGATTTGGAGAAAAGTCCATCAGAGGCCGGCCTCACCGCCAGAGCTATTTAGGAATTTTCATGCTGGCATATGTGATTGGGCTCTGCTGCGATGTGAGAGGAATGCACTGAAAGCGAACGCTCATTACAATTGTCTGGTGTCCTGCCGCATCCATCGGCTTTGGAAGGGAACACGCCTTGAAATTCGATGGAAGGTTTGTGAATCTAGTTCAACAAATTCTCATACCCTCTCCTCCTCAGCTTTCAGCTGAAATAGGAAAATGGTGTTGTAGTAATTCTACCGGAAGTGGTGGACACCGCCATCATGCCAGATGCTGTGAAGAGATATTGAAGGAGGATTGCAACTCAAACGCTTGACCGAAAACGGAAACCGCCATGCACTTTAGGCTGACAGGCCTGCAAACTCCCTGCGACATGGCGCCGTAAACCGTAGCGGCCTACTCATGATTTTGTCTCAACTTGTGCTCGCACTGAACCAAACCCGTAGACTTGACATGCACAAAAAGGCAGTAAGTCCATCAATATCAACAGTTCCAGTCCTGAAAAATATGAGAGTGCTCTCATATGAGTGGAAAGCAGGTGAGTTGTAATGTTCCTGGGCCACGCTTGCTTTATAAACAGGAAATTGTTTGCTGAGCAACAAACGCTTTCCCGTTTTATAGGCAAGCGTGGCCCAGAAAACTTCCCAGGCACGTACTGGCCTGTATCCATAGCGATGGTCGTGCTGCTCCATCTGCTAAAGCTTTCGCCTTTGGAGCGCACCACGCAATCGCCATCATCGACCCTTTCAAGCTCTTGCCACCCAAAGGAGCGCAGCAACAAAAAATTTAAGTGCGTAGCGGATGACCCAATGCTACTGGGAATTTCGCAAATTGTCCGGCTTTCGTGGGCTGGTGCAAAGATTTGTTTTGTCATATAACATTACTCATATGTTGGGAAATGCAACGGCAAGAATATTCACCACCTTCAAGCGACAATTTGGTGTATTGCAAGAAGCTTCACGTCCTCTGGCAAGGTGGCATCCTGCGCCTGCAGAACATGCTCGCACACGATGCATGCGATGTAGGTAATCACCGGTTTGCAGAATTTCAGTCCCGATGTTAAACGCTCCTCCCTGGGATGCTTTCAAGCCCCCCCTTTGCCTTGTTTCCTTGCCATGAACCCATCAAATTCCAT